GCAGGTAATGCAGACAGGAGGCCTCTGATTGGTCAATTCTACATCCGCTCTACTCTATGTGTTTCCTGTTTAGTACCCAATAGGAGAAACTCTGGCTGTAGCGCCGCTGTAGCTACCAGATCTGCTCAGGTCCTGCCAGTCCGAGCCTGGTCCACACTTTCCTGTGTTCTTCTGAAGAACATACTTGAAAAACGGCCTTAGTGCTAAAAGATTAATCTCAGAGGTGCCTTTTCAAACTTCACAATGTATTGAATAAATACAAATATTTTAAATAACACTTTTAGATTTTTTAGCACAATAAAAGCATCCTCTTTAAAACCCCCAAAATTATACTATAAATAAGAGTAATCAGAGTAAAGCAGATTGTTATGTACACCGTAGTAATTTATTGATTAAGCTGCTTAACATCCTCCTTTTTGGTGCTATAGAAATGGCCACCCTAGTCCAGTACCAGACGTGGCTTCTGTCTACTGGGTTCTGCTCAGACGTAACAATGTGAGATTCAGATTAAACTTTTTTTAATCTCTGTAAATCAGAGAGGCATAAATCGGCTAAAAACAGGATCCTCAGCTCACCTGCTGCAGTATGTGGCCTTCTCTGAGCGTCATCAGCCTCTTGTGCAGCTCTACCAACTCATCCAGATACGCCTGGAAAAACAGCCGCATGGGGTGAGCTTCATAGCTACATGGTTTACACAATCAGGCAGTAAAAAAAAGACGAATAAAAGGGAAGAAGTTGTCCTGGACTGGCTGGAAACCAGCGCCTGTCCTCCACCGCTACAGGATAACAACAGCCTGCGAGGGATTCCCGAGCCCCGACTTTACCTTGTCACAGTCGATGTTTTCGTTCTTATCCTGCTTGCTCTGTTTGACGGGGCTCTTCACCTCCAGAATCTGTCCGAGGGCAGAGCAGAAACGTTTCAGAGCTGCACATCTCCTGGGTTAAAGCGTCTTTAGAGCTGCGTGATGGCGTACCTGGTTACTGGTGGTCTTTATTAACGCCGGAGCCTCTTTGCGGGGGCGGGGTGAGGGGGAGGAGCCGTCACTCTCGCTGCCGTCACTTAAACTCACCCTAAGGGAATGGAAGACAAGCAGAACGTCCAAACGTGAGTCAAGAAAGCATCTAGAAAACATCCCACTGCTAAGATGAGCAACCGGAATCTGTAACGCCTTCATCAGATGTTTGAACCGGGACTGGTTGACCTGAGGAGTATCTGAGCTCCGTCCTACAGGATAAAAATGAAACCCGTTTAAACCCGGGAACAGCGGGCTTTTAGTGGCAATGGGAACAGCTCACTGACGCTATCCA